GCGAGCAAGAAAAGCTTCATCTGTATTTACAGCTCTCCCTGTGTCTTCACATGGTCTTCTTCCCTGTGTCTAAATTTTCCTCATTTTATAAGGATACCAGTCATATTGCACTAGGGCCCACCCTAATGACCCCATTTCAATATTTACCTCCTTAAAGGCCCTGTCTTCAAATACAGCCACATTCTGAGATGCTGGAGGTTAGAACTTTAACATACGAATTTTGGGGGAACACAAGTTAGCCCATAACAGGCACATTGGTTGTTCTCTAGACTTGGCATAGCTCTTGCCCTGGGGTTTCTCTTTACCTTCACCCTGGCCATTTCCCAGGTTCCTCTTCTGTGTCCTATAATACCGCTTTCTTGGTTTACTTCCCTGTGTGGTGGAGTATATTCTTCTGTAGGTTTCCAAGAAATGTCAATGGGATGTAAATTTTTTGAGACCTTTAATTGAAATTGGTTTATTTTACTCTTTCACTGTCTTGATAGTTTAATTAGTTATGGAATTGTAGGAAGGCACTTTTAAATGCATTTCTTCATTGTTCTAGATTTTGTTGTTGCCATTGAAATCCTGTGCTATTCTGATTCCAGAGCTTTTATTTGCAACCCTTTATTTTCCTCTTTGGAAGCTTTAGGATCTTCTTTATCTCAAGTGTTCTGAAATGTCATGTTTTCATTCTTGATGTTAAATAATTTGTGAGCCCTTTCAGTCTAGCAGGTTATGTGCTTCAGTTCTGGGAAATTTTCTTTTCATTTTACCCTATTTTCTTCTTTGGGAACTTTTATTAGTTGAATGTTAGATTTTCTGAAATGTACCTTTAAGTTAGTTGGGTTTTTTCCTTATTTGCCATTTTTAACCTTTTTGCTTTTTTAAAAAATCAGGAAGTTTTCCTCAGTTTTATTTTCTACTTTTCTATTGACTGTTTAGATTTTTCTGCTGTATTTTTTTTGTGTGCTATATAGTTTTCATTTCCAAGAGCTAGCTCATTTTTTTCTGAAAAAGACTTTTTTTATTAATGAATGCATTCTCTCTTATCGAATTTTATCAATTATTTTTTAAAGTTTCCTCTGTTCCTTGCATCAACTATTTCTTTTTTTCTTCCTTCCTCCTCTCTTGCCTCTCTGTTGTTTTATGCCCCTGACTATGCTGTTAGAGGTATGTTTCAAAAATCTGATGATCATATTTATTTGCCCATCTGTCCGTACTTAAGATTGAGGCACTAAAAGCTGACAGAGCTCTAGTCTTGCCATGGTGGACTTGTAATAATGTGGTTAGTCTGCTTGCTTTTTGTCTACTTCCCCCCTGCTGCACACATTTAGGTTTTATTTTTCTCCATTCTGAGAGTTACAATCTTTGAAAATTTTACTGCCATCTCTCATTTACCAATTGTCATCTTTCCCATTCTCTTGTGAGTTTGTATCTTTAAAAGTTTCTTAAGTGTCATTTTAGTGGGGTTGGGGTAGGCAGTAGATATATAGGCATGAGTGCAATCCAGCCAGTATAAAGAGAATTTAATAGCCAAATAAATTGCTCTTGAAGGGTTTATCCTAAGTCTGGAGGACCTAGGCTAAGACAATCAGATACTTGTTTAAAAATCTTGCAGTCAGGCTGGGCGTGGTGGCTCACGCCTGTAATTCTAGCACTCTGGGAGGCCGAGGTGGGCGGATTGCTCGAGGTCAGGAGTTCAAAACCAACCTCAGCAAGAGTGAGACCCCATCTCTACTCTAAAGAGAGAGAAATCAATTGGCCAACTAATATATATAGAAAAAATTAGCCAGGCATGGTGGCGCATGCCTGTAGTCCCAGCTACTCGGGAGGATGAGGCAGAAGGATTGCTTGAGCCCAGGAGTTTGAGGTTGCTAGGCTGACGCCACGGCACTCACTCTAGCCTGGACAACAAAGTGAGACTCTGTCTCAAAAAAAAAACAAAAACAAAAACAAAAAAAAAACAAAAACTTGCAGTCATAAGATTTTAATTGTTCAACCATGCATATGAGAGTAGGAAGTACCAGATCTCTTCTACTGATTGGACATTGAAATCCTGCAAATATTTATACCTTTAAGAACATAGTAGCTGAGTGTGGCTGTAGTGCCTGTAGTCCCAGCTACTTGGAGACTGAAGTGGGAGGATCCCTTCAAGGGGATACAGTGAGCTATGATTGTGCCCCTGCGCTCCAGCCTGGGTGACAGTAAGACCCTTTTAAAAAAAAGAACACAGGAATGTCAGTTACATCTAAGGTAACACTTTAACAGGAATTAGAAGTTTAATTTTTGGGGTTATTTTCATTTGTTCCAATGAATAATACTTCCAAGGTTAGATTCATTTAAACACATGGTAACAGTCATGTATATTTATGCAAGCCTGTATATTGCAGAGGACAACAAAGCTGATATTCTTATGAAAGTTCTAATTTAACACCTTATCAAATCAGCTCTTTTGAATTAATTTTCTTTTCTTTTGCTGCAAGTGCAAGTGCAAGGCCTCAAAAAATTGGTGAAAGACTCAGAGTTGTTCCTGTCTATGGAAATCTTTAGTAAAAGGTAAAAGATTTATCCAATCTGAAGAGAAACCAGACTATGAACTAATTTTCTGTTGCATAATGATATCTTTCCCCCTGCAGCTGTAGGTAAAGGGATTATCTTAACTTCTGAGATGATGTTTTTTTAGACAGAGTTGCCTGGGCATCCGCCTAGCTCATAGCAACCTCAAACTCCGGGGCTCAAGTGATCCTCCTGCCTCAACCTCTCGAGTAGCTAGGACTACAGGCGTGTGTTACCACACGCTAATTTTTTCTATTTTTAGTAGAGACCAAGCCTCGTTCTTGCTGAGGCTTGTCTTGAACAACTGACCTCAAGCGATCCTCCTGTCTCGGCCTCCCAGAATGCTAGGATTACAGGTGTGACCCACCACACCTAGCCTGTCAGTCTGCTTTTTCCTCAAGGACATGACAGCAAAGACCTGGACACATAATGCCTTTGTTAGGGTCTCCCAAGCTGTGGCCATCAAGGGTAACCTGATGAAGTGCTGGATCTGCCATCTTGGACCTCATTAGTTCAGAGGCCTTCTCATCCTGCCAGTGATAACTGGCCACAGCATATATACCAACATAACCTGAGTCCTGACTTATCAAATGAGGATCTGGCACCTGCCACATAGGAAAGAGCTGGAGGTGCCTTGTTTTAACTTCATTGGCCTAAGATGGCAAAACATCATGACCACAACAAACAAAACCTTGGTGGGCTGGTACTTCTGACACACCATGTTCTTTTGATTACATAGATGAGAAACATCCCAGTGGTGACAACAAAAACAAGGATCAGACTATTGCTAGCTTTCTGTGTAGGGGCTTCATGAGCAATTTTGAATGGGGAAAATTGAATTCATATAACTAATTTGAGACTTGGCTGGCAAAAGCCAATGCCTCTATGCCCATGAATGGATTACTGAATAATAAAATGGGGGAAGAGATGCTATGTACACCTGAGGGCTACATCTTTTTCTGGGCAGTCCAGAGGTGACCAAGATGTGGGAATGGGCAATGTCATGCTTGAAATGCTGGTGAATGGAAATTAGACACACCAGTGGGCCAGCAGCCTGAAGTTTATACCAGGCTTACAAGAGACCTGCCAGAAGGTATAACTGACTCTGTGTTTATGTCCTTTATGATCCTTGATACCATACATGGGAGTCAGTGCTCATGAAAAAATAAGAAATATGTCCATGACCATGGGAGATGTTGCTTCCTCTATTGCCACTGCCTTGGCAGCCCTGCAAACATCCATCACCCCCCTTGGGAAGACTGTTTTAAACAAGGGAATTGCTCTAGATTTCCATTTACACAACTGGGAGGAGTGTGTTAAATTGGCAACAGCTCCTCCTACACCTAGATGAACACCTCACATATTGTAGAAACATAAGTAGAGGAGATCTGGAAGCAAACTCACTGGCTGTAGACATTGGGACCACCTGAAGGATCCTTTTTGACCTCTTCAGCAACATCTTACCTGGATCACTGGGATCCTGGGCTAGGTTGCTGCTCCAGACAGGCCTGATCATCCTGCTTATGGTTGTAGTCCTCCTGGGCCTAGTGAAATGTATTCTGGCTATGGCTCAAAAATGTTGCACTGAGATTATGTTACTCAAGGTGTTACACTGATCTGACAAGACAAACCTTGCCTCTGGATCTGGGAAGGTCTGTGGGCATATGAAGTGAACTAACTTTTTTAGGGGGATATCTAGGTTAGAGGGTAGACAGCAGGGCAGTTCTCCAGGTGGCCTTGGGCCAACTAGTTCATCTCGAAATGCAACATCCCGTGATAAAGAGGGACTGCCCAGAACAGCTCAGTCTCTATTCCAGTACACCAGAAACAGTACAACCTTCAGTGCTTTAGCCCAGTGTGTCATGTAGCCCCTCTGGGGTATAAAACCAAGGGAGGGCTGCTTTCTGGGGTCCTTCTGCTGTGGTGCAAGCGGGAACAAGATTCCACACCCTGGCAGCTTTCCTGAGCCTTAGGAGACCAGCTGGCAATGAATTCCAGTCTCTGTTGTGTCTCGATGCCTATCTGTAGTTGTGTGTAAGGGTGTTGTTTTTCTGGACGCAGACAAGTTGCCAACCAGTGCACAGTGAACCTGTTTCACACAAACCTTTGTGTGGGCACGTTTTCGTTTTTCCTGGGAGTAAAACTGATGGTAAGTATATGTTTAACCTTTTTTAAAGAAACTGAAACTCTTTTTCAAAGTGGTTATACCATTTTACATTTAGAACAGTAATAAATGAGGATTCCAGTTTGCATCTTTGACACTTAATATTTGTCAGTCTTTTAAATTTGAGTCATCATATGAGTGTGTAGCATCTCATTGTGTTTTTAATTTGCATTTCTCCAATGACTAATGATATTAAGCATCTTTTTTTTTGCCTTTTGTGAAGTATCTGTTTAAATATATCATCTGTATCTGGATACCAGTCTTGTCAGAATAAAATTTAAAATATAAATAAAATATATATAAATATACATCTCCACCTTATTCAAGCCACTTGTTCTCTTTGCTATTCCTTAAATAGGCTAAGGCCACACCTGTCTTAGAACTTTTGAGCTTTCTTTGTTGTATGGAATGCTGCACTCTCAGATACACACAGATCTTGCTTCCAGACTTCCAGTCACTGTTCATCCGGTCCTTTTTGGTGAGATCTTTCTCTTAACCACCCTATTTAAAATAGTAATACCGGCAGCCTGGCACTCCCAGTTTTCCCTATTTTTCCCCATAGCACATAACCATCCGACACCTATATTTATTTGCCTGTCTTCCCATAAAAAAGTACTGGTAAAGATAAGCCCAAACCACAAAGAACATGCAAAGTAATTTACAGCCTGTTTAGGGGAATACCTCCTCACCGGGAGGGTGACACGTTCAGGGATGCAGAATCAAATTACTGAGCCTGCTCTAGATAAAGGAAGAGGTTGCCACCCTGTGTCTTAAATAACCGAAGAAAATCACCGAGCGTGGTCGGCTCCAGGGGATCCTCCCCAAATGATCGCTGGGAGAGCACGAGGCAAACTGAGTCCCGCCTACCCCGAAAAAAAACTGAGGACTCTCGGGCATCGGAAACGTACGTAGAGCTTATCTTGGTCAATGCTTGTCTTAGCACAGGAAGTCGAACAAACCGAAGACGCCTCTTGGCAAGGTCCAACACTGGTTAAGACAAAGCCGAGACTCAAAACCAGAAGTTGCTTTCCGGTTCCGGGCCTTAGATCCTTTCCGCTTCCTTTGCCGGAAGTGACAAATATCCTCTGCTCTCCGTCGCGTCCGCAACGGGATTTAGGCTTAGGGGGCGGGGCCAACGGAGGACTAGGTGGGACGACGGCCGGGTGCCTCCCTCCGGCTAGTACCCAGAAAGACTCCGAGAACCTGGGTCTGCCTACCCGGAAGCGGACTCGGGGAAGGCGAGGATCGGGCACCAATTCCGGAATTCGAGGGCTTTGTTTCCGAGGGGGAGCGCTTCCGAGACGCACCGCCGCCTGGACGGTGAGTTCCCCCAGCTCACTCGCTGTCTAGCCTGCCGGGGCGGGGCCCCGAGCCAGGGCAGTTTTAACAGTTTTTTTGGACAATCCCTGTGGTTCCCTCAGCCGATATTTATCAAGCGCCTACCGGGCTCAGCCTCCTCCCCTCGAGAAATAAAATTAATGAGGAAACATTAAACTGATAGGCGAATGGTTCATTTAAGATGTGCTTAGAACTCAGAAGGAGCTAGTCCCGTACGTAGCCCAGGACGCTCTAGTAAACCGACTGCACGTGGAGTTGACGGGAGGGAGGAATGGGCCTGGCAGAGATGAGGGAGGAGAGTCAGGGAAACTACCTGTTGGAGAGGGCAGAGTCGGAGAGAAAGCTTGGTGACTTGAAGCCGAGAGACGGCCAAAGAGGCAGGCAGGGACCAGATCATAGAGTATGGAACACGGTGACACAATTTAGGGCTTTATCCTAAGAGGAGCAGAATGACAAGATCTGATTTACATTTTTGTAAGGATCTCTATGACGGTGGGTGGAGATTCCCATAGGGCAGGAATCGTGAGGAGAACTCTCAGGAAGCTACTGCTGTAGATAACAGGTGGTGGCATAGGGATATGGAAGAAGAATGGACAGATCAAAATTATATTTAGGAAGTAAGAATTCAGGTCTTTATGAATATGTGCATTTTTAAATATATTATAATGGGAATCTTACTGACTATATCTTTCTGTATCCATTTTTTTACCCATTGGACCTTAGCATGACTGAAGATTGAACTACTGTGTGCCAGGACATTATTTGCAATTTTTTTGTTTCTGTTTGTAACGGAAAAAGTGAGATATAAATGCACCAAGCCAGAGATAACTTACAAACTTTTTAATAGGCAGCTTTTGGAAACTCCCACAGTTTGACCACATTTTATGTTTTGTTTTCCATTCAGATGTGTGTGTTTTTTGGTTTTTTGTTTTGTTTTGTTTTGTTTTGAGACAGAGTCTCCCTCTGTCACCTGGGCTAGAGTGCTGTGGTGTCAGCCTAGCTCACAGCAACCTCAAACTCCTGGCCTCCAGTGATTCTCCTGCCTCCCAAGTAGATGGGTTTAGAAGCACATGCCACCATGCCTGGCTAATTTTTTTTTCTCCTAATTTTAGTAAAGAAGTCTCGCTCTTGCTCAGACTGGTCTCGAACTCCTGAGCTCAAGCAATCCTCCTGCCTTGGCCTCCCAGAGTGCTAGGATTACAGACATGAGCCGCTGTGCTTGGCCCCACTCAGATATTTTTACTTAAAGTAATTTTTTGCTGTTTTCACACATCCTCAAGACCATAGTTTTAATGGTGGTTTAGTCACAACCAATCTTGTTATTGGCTAGATGGATTGTTTTCAACTTTTCATTGTTAAAATGATGAGAGGGATACATTATATAATCCTTGGATTGCCAGTTAATTCCTTGAGAAAGAGCTCTAGAAATGGAAACTACCAGGTAAAAGGATAAAATAAAACCTATGAAATTGCTCCACCAAACTGTCTCGAGTCTGTGATTGACATTGCTTTAAAGATCAAGTTTTTGGCCCCACCTGGTGGCTCTCCCCTATAATCCTAGCACTCTGGGAGGCTGAGGCAGGAGGATCGCTTGAGGCCAGGAGTTCAAGACCAGCCTGAGCAAAATAGTGAGACTCCATCTCTACATAAAGTAGAAAATTTACCCAGGTGTGGTGATGTGTGCCTGTGGTCCCAGCTACTTAGGAGGCTGAGCCTGGGAGTTTGAGGTTACAATGAGCAGTGATTGCACCACTGTACTCTACCTGGAAAACAGAGATTCCCCTTCAAAATCAAATTTTTAATTTTTGCAATACACAAGTTATTCAAGGATATAGTTATATCTTTCTAGTTATTCAATTTATGTGTGTTTCCTTCCTTTTCTCTTCTTCCTTCATCCTTCCTTCCTTTCTTTCCTTCCTTTCTTTCCTTCCTTCCCTTCCTTCCATCCTTCCCTTCCTTCTTCCTTCTCTCCTTTCTCTTTCTTCCTTCCTTCCTCCTCGCCTCCTCCTTTCTCCCTTCCCTATCCCTTCCTCCCTCCTCTCCTTCCTTCCCTCCCTCGCTCCTCTCTCCTTCCCCCTCCACCCTCCTTTTCTCTTCCTTCCTCTCTCCCCCTCTCTCGTCCTTCCTTCCTCCTTCCTGCCCTCCTTTTTCTCCCTTCCCTTCCCTCCCTTTCCTTCCTTCCCTCCCCTTCCCTTCCCTTCCTTCTTTTCCTTTTTCTTTCTTTCCTGCCTCCTCCTCGCTCATGGTTTAACTCTGTCATCCAGGCTGGAGTATAGAAGTGCAGAGGCAGAGGCATGCTCGCAGGTCACAGCAACCTCAAACTCCTGGGCTCAAGTGAGTTTCCTGCCTCAGCCTCCCAAGTAGCTGGGACTACAGGTGCCTGCCCAGCTAATCTTTGAAAATTTTTTTGTAGAGATGGGGTCTTGCTCTGTTTCCCTGCTGGTCTCAAACTCCTGGACTCAAGCAATGCCCTCACTTGGGCCTCCCAAAGTGCTAGAATTATGGGTGTGAGCCACCACAATTGGCTGGTAGCTATTCAAGTTGTCTTTTATGTGCTTTTATGTCTTTATATATACTCCTGTCTTTTTCTTGTTAAGCTCATATCTAAGGAAGGGTGAATAATTATACCTTCTCTGTTTAGTTTCCATGTGTGGAATGAATATCTTTGCATCAAGTGTGATATTTTATTCTTTAAAATTATTTTCTTTCTAATATTTATGTTCAGGTCCTGCTAAAATAAAATGGCGAGATCAGAAAGTTAGAAAGGCTAGGCTGGAGTAAGGTTGCATTAATACCATAAGGAACCTGTGGTCTCCAAATTTCTGTCATTCGTCCCCTCCACCATGCATCTGAGCAAACAGGGGACCAGCTAGCTCCCTTGGCTTTTCCCCAGGAATGACAAAGGAACTAGAAACAGCTCAGCAGGGTAGGGAAGACAGCATCTCTCCAGGATGCCAAATGCATTTTGGGGATGAATTTCTCTAGTTTAACAGTTGTATCATCTTATTAAAGTTATTTTCATTTATTTGTTTGCAAGAATACTTATTAAAAAATGAATCATAATGTTAACTTTTAAACAAAAGAAATCTATTGGGTTTTTTTTTTTTTGTTTCCTGCAATAGAATCCTGCTTCTCTCTGAAATGCAGTTAACACATCAGCTGGACCTATTTCCCGAATGCAGGGTGACTCTCCTGTTATTTAAAGATGTAAAAAATGCAGGAGATTTGAGGAAAAAGGCCATGGAAGGCACCATTGATGGTTCGTTGATAAATCCAGTAGTGGTAAGTACGAAGTGTGAGAATGAATGAGCCCTACTGGGCATTTAAGAATATATGAATTTTTTGTGATGTTATAGGTCAGCCTAAAATTCTGTCATCAGCAGGTAATTCTTGTCCAAGTCAGACATGACCAACCATGAATTTAATGGTGAATGGAGGCAAAAGTGCCTGCCAGGCCCTGCCCTAGGAAACAGGAAAGGTTGTGATGTGGCTCTGACAAAATGGCAAATGCCTGGTAGTAAGTGACAGAGCTGGGATTCGAACCTAGACATTCTTTGCCTTGGTTTCTTCATTTATTACATATGAGTAATAATAATGTCAATTTCATAAGATAGTTTTGAGGATTAAAGAAAATAATACAAGTGAAATGTTTAATGACATTTCCCATAACATCAGCCCTCAATAAATGTTATTTTAAAAACTTTTTTCTGGCCTGGCGCGGTGGCTCACACCTGTAATCCTAGCACTCTGAGAGGCCGAGGCGAGTGGATCGCTCAAGGTCAGGAGTTTGAAACCAGCCTGAGCAAGAGTGAGACCCCGTCTCTACTAAAAATAGAAAGAAATTAATTGGCCAACTAAAAATACATAGAAAAAATTAACCAGGCATGGTGGCACATGCCTGTCCCCAGCTGCTCGGGAGGCTGAGGGAGAAGGATTGCTTGAGCCCACGAATTTGAGGTTGCTGTGAGCTAGGCTGACACCATGGCACTCTAGCCGGGGCACAGAGTAAGACTCTTGCCTAAAAAAAAAAAAATTTTTCTATTTATGTTAGTTCCTTGCAACTTTAAAATCCTATAATTTTCTGACTGCCTGGCCTTGAGATAATAGGTTGGAAAATATAGTCCATAGGAACTGTGATGAAATAAAAAAGATTGACACTGGGGTTACCATGAGTTAGGACATGAGTCTTTAGATTCTATGTGCGTAATTTTTTTTCTCTCTTTGGTAGATTGTTGATCCGTTTCAGATACTTGTGGCAGCAAACAAAGCAGTTCACCTCTACAAACTGGGAAAAATGAAGACAAGAACTCTATCTACCGAAATTATTTTCAACCTTTCCCCAAATAACAATGTAATGTGGAATTGACTGACTTTATTTCTGTTGACCTTGTCATAATAACATATCTTCTCCAATGTTGGGTTGGAAGCTAAATTCCTGCAATCTAGTTGTTAGTGATAAACTAAAATAATAGTGAAGAGGGCTTTGGACAGAGAGTTAAGGTTTAGCACTGGCTCACTAGATAGTCATTTTACATGTGAGTAAACAATAGTTTAGCTAAATTAAGTAAGGCTAGTTTTATCTGTCTTTACATTTTTGGTCAGGAAGATCCTTCAAGTATTTTTGCTTAAGAAGCTGATAGAAACCTAACTGATAAAACATTTGGCATGGATATTTTGTGTGTTATCATGCACATTTTTCACTCTCCCTGAAAACTCCTTGAGGGTAGGATCTATGTCTTTTCCACATACCAGGAACTTTCTCAAATCTATTGTAGCTTTTAACACGTCCTCATTCACACACCCAGTGCATATAGCAACAGCTTGTGATTTGAAATACTCACAGTAGTGCTTCCTCAAAAGGTAATTGAGCTAAAAACATCCCACATATAGCACATGAAAAAATGGCTGAAATTTTGCAAATGAAGTTCTAGTATTTACACTACTATTAATAACTTAACCAGATACTAGTATCATCAAGAGAAAAATGAGGAAGCCTATAGCATAGTTTAAAATATACTTGATGGAAAAGTTTATGAATTACAGTTATTTCAGCATGGTAATATAATTCCCCAGTATCTGGAATAAAGTTTGCCAGATAATTATTTCTTTGAGATAATTCAAGAAACTATTGAATTCAATAAACATCTATTGAACTCGTCCCTGTTCCAGTTACAATTCTAGGAGTAGAAAAAGCAAATATATTCCCATGAAGAGGCAGAGAAACAAGACAAAAGTTAAAATGCCCTATGACAAATGATATGAATATGAATTCAAATTTCGGGGAAGGACAAAGAAGCCATTCATTCTGGAGGCAGGAGGGTGCAGTGGGGAGTGGCATTTGAACTGTGGACCTTGAAGTATGGGTTCAGCAGCCAAAGGGGGTGGGGAGAAAGACCTTGAGGGCAAAGGACAAAGCGTGTGCACAGGCAGAATGGCATGAAATGTGACAGGATCCCCAAGCAGTCCAGCCTGGCCAGAAGACAGGAGTGCCTGGCTAGAGGGTCACTTAGGGCCAGGGTGGGAGGGGTGCTTTTGTGCAATCAAAAAGTCTGGCCTTAATTCTATGGGAACAAGGTGCAGTTTTAATGATAGAGTACTTCAGAGACAGGACCAATAGATGATGGAAACGGATTATTGAAGGGAAAAACTAAGCAGAGAAATATGAGAAATAAGAACCTAACCAAGGAAGAGGGTAGATCAGGAGATATTTTGGATATAGGAAACACTGGCTAATTGTCTTTTGTTATTTTGTACTTTTTCTTAGATTTCTGAGGCTTTGAAAAAATTTGGTATCTCAGCCAATGACACCTCAGTTCTAATTGTTTACATTGAAGAGGGAGAAAAACGAATAAATCAAGAATCCCTAATATCTCAAGTGGAAGGTCATCAGGTTTCTCTGAGAAATCTTCCTGAAATAACAAATATTACAGAAGTCAAAAAGGTCTGTAAGTTTTTTTTTTTAAGATTTATTCTTCATTTATTATAAAAAGTTTGATTTATAAAAGGAAAATTAGAAAATAAACATAAGTTGTCAAAATATGAATTCTGCACAATATAACATACAGCAGTTAAAAATCATGTCATAATAATAAATGGCATGAATATATTCATAATACAATTTTAGATCAATAATAATACAAAATATATGTATAGTATGATCCCATTATCATTCTAAAAAGAAAAATTTATAAACATATACATATAATTCAAGGGTTTGTAAGTTTTTAAAATTACTTGAAAATACACACAACTTCAAGGTGCAGGTTTATGTAAAATATATGAATAATTACAAACTTGTTAACTAAGCATTCTCCACTTTAATTAAGAATCAGATCCTAGGGCCAGGTGCAGTGGCTTATGCTTGTCACCCCAGCACTTTGGGAAGCTGAGGCAGAATTGCTTGAGCCCAGAAGTTCAAGGTTGCAGTGAGCTCTGATGGTGCCAGTGCATTTCAACGTGGGCAACAGAGCGAGACTCTGTCTCTAAAAAAAAAAGAAAGTGGATACCTTTTAAATAGCAAGCTTTAGTGTGTACATTTAAGATGCAAATAAATATAGTATGAAGTTAATATCTGGATGTGTGCTTTTAAAATTGATACAAATTTGGTTTTTATGTTGGAGAGTTATTACCATAACTAGATTAAAGTGAATATTTGACATAAGTCATGAATTGCCATCCAGTTTCAATATTATAATCACATTTGTAATTTGTGATTTCAGAACATTAACCCAGTAATCAAATTATAAATAATTTTACTTATACATGTTTCTATATGAAAATTAGTGCATGAATATGTATGAAGTCTTAATCTGTCTTTTGGTTTTACAGATATATAAACTCTCTTCACAAGAAGAATGTATTGGGACATTATTGGATGGTATCATTTGTAGAATGTCAACAAAAGATGTTTTGTGATATGTTGGAAATAGTAACAGAAATTTCAGCATTGAAGAAGCCATTGCTTTTATTTGTATGTAATTGGAATAAAAATTGCAAACACTTATTGAATGCCTACAGTATACGAGGTGCTTGCCTTAGTGGTTTTACATCTATCAGTTCATATCCCTCTGCATACTCTTATCCCTCCACACCTACTCCAAGCCTCTGGATGCTGGTTCTAAATATTTTACATGTGAGAATTCATTTCATTCTCACAGCAACTTTATTAGGTAGATACTGTTATTACCCCCATTTTATATAGGAAGCAACTAAGAGATTACAGAAATATTAACTTGCCCAAGGTCATACTGCTAGTGTAAAGTTGTCTTTTATGAATGGTTTGATTTCTTTTCTCACTTTATCTTATATTTAATTGTATCAGTCAAGACTTACTAGGTCATGGGCAAGCAACCTTGAAGAGCCAGATGGTAAATATTTTTGGCTTTGTGGGCCATATGGTCTCTGTTGTGACCACTCAGCTCTGCCATTGCAGTGTGAAAGCACCCATGGCAATACAGAAATGTTGACCATGGTGTGTCCCAGTAAAACTTTATTTACAAAAACAAGTGGCAGGCAGAATTTGACTGGAGGGCCGTAGTTTGTGGACTCTGTGTTAGTTAGGCTTAGTTGGGCTGCAATTACAGTCCCTAAAGCTAACTGGCTTAATGCAATATAGGTCTGTCTGGCTCATTCTGCAGCCAGCGTGAATTAATAGGAAGAGTCATCGTGGTGACTCAGAAACCCAGGCTGCTAAAGGCTTCATCTCAACAGGCTCTCCATGCATGGAAACAAAGCTGGAAGGGAGGCACCACGTGGAAGTGACAGTTTTTCTTATTGGCCAAGCCAGCCCCGGGGGCAACACCAACTTCAGAAAAGGTGGGGAATTGTAATCCTACCATGTGCTACAAAGTGGAGAGGTAGAAATACTTGGGAAGAAAGTATATAGTTAACATTTCCTGCACAGTTACTATACTGTAGGTACTTCATAGGCACTATCTCATTTAGTCTACAATCCTAAGTTTTTACAAGTGAGGAAACAGAATTAGTGTTCCTTTCTCCACCCTGTATTTCAAAAAATTTCAAACCTACATAACAATTGAAAATATTACAATTTCACATAAATTCACCATTGTTAACCCTTTCTGCATTTGCTTGCTCTCTGCTTTCTAACCACCTACACACACATAGTTCTTTTGTTGTTGAACTACTTCAAAGTATGTTGCTGATATAGCACGTTACCATACATTGTGTTTGGTTGTCCTGTCTCTAAGTTTTCTTTGATTTAGAAAAGTCCTTTTTAAAAATGATATAGACATTTTTTTTTAAACAAGTGGTAGTCAATTTATTAAAACAGTTGATTTAAGCATCTGCAATAGTGACTTCAACCTCCACTCCGGGCTCAATACTGATAGAAGTAATCTGCTTAACAATCTCAGAAGGACTATGTAAGTCAATGAGTCGCTTGTGGATTCTCATCTGGAAGCGGTCCCAAGTCTTAGAACCTTCACCACAAGGAGTTTTTCTTGTAGTGATTCTCAAAGTCTTGGTAGGCATCTGAACTGGTCCTTTCACTTTGAGGTTCTTTTCCTTTGCGCCTCTGATCAAGTCAGCACACACCTTCTCCAAAGACTTTACGTTGCGGCTGATTAGGGTAATTTTAATCTGGTGACTCACGACCTACGGCTCTATGGGTGTTTTTCCGGTATCTTTAAAAGCCACGGATGCTGCACGGCTTCCTGACCGACTTTTTCCTCGCTGAGAGTGAACAGCAGTGAGTCAGGAGCGGGAGCGGGCACAACACAGCTCCGCTGCAACCGCGACCGCGTCTTTCTCGAAAAGCTATAGACACTATTTTGAAGACAGCAGATATCTTCCAGGATTTCATGAAATCTGGATGTGTTCGTGATTAGTGTCAGTTTACATATTTTTAGGAATAATAGGAAATAAATGGTATTTGTGGCCTCGCTGTTGCATCTCATCAGGAGGCACGTAATGTCATTTGGTCCTATTATGGCTGATGCTAAGTTTGACCCATTGGTTAATATATGTCCTGCCAGATCTCTCCATTATAAAGGCATCTTTTACCATGAAGTTTAGAGAGTTAAAGCTGCCCAAAAGCTCAAAGTGCCAACACTAGGATTAAAATTCAGATCTGGGTAACCCTGTGCTCTTTTTCTTTTCTTTCTTTTTTTTTTTTTTGAGACAGAGTGTCACTGCATTGCGAGGCTAGAGTGCCGTGGCATCATCCTAGCTCACAGCAACCTCAAACTCCTGGGCTCAAGTAATCCTCCTGCCTCAGCCTCCCAAGTAGCTGGGACTACAGGCATGTGCCACCATGCCTGGCTAATTTTTTTCTATAGTCTTAGTTGCTTGGCTAATTTCTTTCTAATTATAGTAGAGATGGGATCTCACTCTTGCTCAGGCTGGTCTCGAACTCCTGAGCTCAAGCAATCCTCCTGCCCCGGCCAATCCTGTGCTCTTAACAACTCCATCGCTCTGCCTCTTCCCAGGGCATCACCATCACCATTCCTTTTTTTTTGTTTGTTTGTTTGTTACTCAAGTTAGAGTGCAGTGGCGTCATCATAGCTCACTGCAACCTCAAATTCCTGGGCTCAAGTGGTCCTCCTGCCTTAGCCTTCCAAGTAGCTGGGACTATAGGCATACACCACCACACCCAGCTAATTTTTCTATATTTTTATAGAGATGGAGTCTCTTGTTAGGGCTGATCTCGAACTCCTGGTCTTAAGTGATTCTCCCACTTTGGCCTCTCATGGTGCTAGGATTACTGTTGTGAGCCACTGCCCCCGTCCTCAACACTCTTCTTAATTTATGTGTATCATATCGCATGTAATCATTCTTCTATTTTTACACAATGTCGCTTTTAAGTTTTCACTTCACTTTTGCAAATGCATCTTTGTACAGGTTTCTACTTCCCTAGGATAGCTTTGCCAAAATGGAAATCTTAGGTACAAGGGTATGAACTCCTTAATGATTTTTAATGCCAGAAACGTGACTTTTTGTATTCCTGATAGCAGTCTATAAGCATGCTTATGTCACAAAGGTTGCCTATATCACAGCAATCTTTCCTTGCAAATTTTAAACATTTCTGTCCTCTTGGGACATTGGCCTACTAGTAAAGTTGAACTCATGTTTATTAATTATGTTATGAAGAAGATTTTTTGCTTTTTTTTTTTGAGACAGGGTCTCACTCTGTCATCCAGGCTTGAGTGCAGTGATGACATCATAGCTCATTACAAGCTCAACTCCTGGATGTAAGCAATCCTTCTGCCTCAGCCTCCAGCGTAGCTGAGGCTATAGGCATGCACCATGATGACCAGGTAATTTTTCTATTTTTGTTAGAGATGCGGTCTTGTTCTTTCTCAGGCTGGTCTCAAACTCCTGGCCTCAAGCAATCCTTCAACCTCAGCCTCCTAAAGTGCTAGGATTACAGGCATGAGCCACTGGGCCTAGCCTGAACAGGATTTTTATTTGTGTAACTACAGATGATGACGCAGTGAGCTTTGATGTTTTTGAGACATGGTCTCTCCTAAGGCAACTTAGGGAGACCCTGCCTCAAGAACGAAACTAACAATTGATCTAGTTTAATAGTACCCAACCCATTGGGATCACAGACACCTTTGAAAATCTGATGTAGAAAATGAACCCATAAATTTGCACACAGTAAGAAATTTAAGGAGCCCCTGAAAGTGTCCAAGGTAAGCCTGAACTAGCCCCTGACTTTTTAGTTGGGGAGGCTGCAGCTGAGCCCTGTCTCTCCAGGCAGATGTCTGTGCTTTTAGTGGGAAAAATAACACGGCACAGCAGGGAATAGAGGCTCACTGGCTACCCTACCTCTGATTAACCGCTTCGGCACCACGCTCACGGGCCGCGGAACCTTGCCCACAGCCGGCACTCACAGTCCGCACGACAGTTTGTGCTGCGCATTGATGGTGAATCCGTTTTGCTCTTGTGTGATGAGGAAAGCTTTAAAGCACTGAAAGCTTGCTTTACTTTATAGGCAGCTTTACTTGTAATGTAAATCAGAATAGGTAACATATACATGTATGTTTTCATTACGTTATTTTTAAATGTTCACAATTTTATTTGGATAAATGAAAAATTAGAAAAGTCACATCACGGCTATTGGCTAAAGTTGACGCTCGGCTGTGCGCGTTTATCTGTGGCTGTTGACTATAGTAGACTCTCATACCAAAGTGGCTAAGGAAACTCTGGCAAGGCTTTTCAAAGGACTGGATTTTAGATGTTTTGTTACGGGATTTCTGGGTGGCTGATCGATTCTATTTCTGAGCCTGGCTGCCAGAAGGGAACTTGAGTTGCTGATTGTACACATCAGCTCTGCAGAGAAGTAGATAAACTCTAAAACAACACTCTGTTCCCAGAAGGAGAAAGTATCTGGCCTTCCTCTGAGAGAGCCTCTGTCCCTGCCCCCAAACCATCCTACCCTCTAGTCTGTGGGCTTCTGAGATGAACTGAAAGGAATCAAGGCCAAACCAGCTACTTAACCTGGGAGATGGATTCTCAGCAGAATTAGGCTGGCCTACAGCTCCCTTATGCCATCAACCATGGAAGTTTGGGGTTGGGGAAAATCTAGCCAAGTGCCCTGCACCATATTGTGAGGCTACCCTAAGGCCTAACCACAGGACCTTTACACACTGTCTGCTCTGCTTGGGAATTGCCAAACATGCTGTGGGCCCCCACCCTCACCCACAAACAGCACCTTTTCTCTTTTGTGTGTCACCATCCTCTCCAGCCCAGACGGCATCTATCTGCTCTCTGAAGGCAGGGAATACTGGTTAGCCAAGGATTCTTCCAGACATGTTTATCTCAGGACTTGGACCCTGGGAAGCTCAAAAGTCTTGCATTAACTCTCACAGTTTCCCTTGGATTTTGGCTAAAACTTCCCACCCTGGGCACTAAGGCTCAGGCTGGACTGAAAGGAGTAAAGAAGCACAAACACTGTGGAGCAAGTCCTCACTGCACAGCTCTGTGAATGTGCTTAGTGCCTCTGAACTGTACACTTAAAAGAGGTCATAATGGTAAATTCTATTATGTATATTCTACAACAATAAAAAAAGGAAACAATTCTCACAGGTTAACACTTCCCACACCATCTTGCATATCTGCAGTAGTTTAAGCTCTGAAGTAGGTGATTATGTCAGGATTCAGAAAATGATACCCCCAAATATGCTGCCTTTGTCTGCAGATTACTTCAAACTAGAGACACCTGGGGAGCAGCAAATGCCAGGAGGGACTTTCACTGATGTTCCCTTATCTGGCTAGAGGCAGTTAGTTCCTCTCAAGGAAACTTGTGAATCAGGGAAGATTAACCAGTATCACCAGAGAAGAAAGTGTACCCAGAGAGACTTTGCACTCTGGGCCTTATGTTCTTTGCAGATGCCCTTGTGCTTACATGGGTGCCGACCAGCACTATTGCATAACCTGTCCTGCCCGGGCACCCCCACTGCGGGCAGTGCTCACAGTGACTACCCCTAAGCCCCCAGGCTGCAGTGGTTCCCCATCTCTATCCAGGTGCCAGTGTGCTTGGGACAGGACCCCTTTTAATATAACACCAAGCTGGCTCTTGCTGTGAAATGTACATCTCGTCCCGAGAAAATCTAGTGAGTTCCCACGTGAACAATCATTGACACTTGAAATGCTAGGGCATAAGCCCTCAGTGGTGGACAGCCAGGACACACCCAGCTTCCACAGGGGCTGCAGAACATCCGGCATCCCATGAGGTCGGAGGAAGCTGACCCTGTGCACAGCATAGCAGAAACACCACGAGTCAAACCCGCCTTCAGGTTACCCTATCTCTCTTCCTGGAGTTGACCATTCCATGAGCCATTAGATCACCTCTAGTACTTGAGCCAATTGTAGGTGGCTTTTCAATATTTCCAATATGACAGGCCTAACTGTCAAGTTCAGCCTCCAAACAAAGTTATTCTGGACTTAGATAGCTCTACCATTGTCCTGTGCCCACAGCCCCATCAGGTGTGTCCTCCCGAGGGTGGCAGCCAGGAATCCAACACCTGGTGCCTTAAGGCCAAGGCCCAGTGGCCCGCCCATAGCCACGGTTTGTTGAATGAATAAACAACCTCTTAGGTCTCATGAAGAAAACCCACTCTTCTATCAAGAAAGCCCTTAAAATGCAGAAGTGTCACTAAACATTGGGACCGACAAGAAGCCTGGAGGAAACCGAGGCAGCTGTGCTTTGGGGAAGCCACGGCAACCAGCGCGCTCACAGGGAGAGAGAGCCCAGGGACAGACAAGCCCCTCGCCCTGCACTTGACTCTCAGCTTTCTGGCTGGTTAGTACTAGTCGCACTCACCTTGGGAACACACAAGTGCACTTTGGAGCCCTCTGTGCACCCCCTTTGCTTCCTAGGTCAACTTTAGCTAAACATTGAAATGTTCATAGGAAACATTGAAATGAACTGAGAACAATTTAACAAAGATCCGCAGACTCACCACCAGAGCTGATGTTGTCATAGTTAGACTTTACCTTGGAGGTCCCCTCAGATGCCAAAGATCTGGATCCCAGCAGGCTGCACCACGGCCCTGCATCCCAGCTGCCAGCTCGCAGCTGCTGGCTTGTGACAAGGACGGCTGCGGGATGGCACCTGCAGGGCGAGTCTCCATCTTTCGGCATCTGCTCTCCAGTGTCCTCGTGGAAGCCCTTGCCACCAACGTGGCTGTCATCTCTGACCCCTTCCTTGTCCTCATCCCTGTGTGAATCATTCTAACTCCTGCCATTTCTGCCCCTAATGCACCTCCCTTGGTCCCTGTGTCACCATCTTGACTGCCTGACTCTGGTCGATCCCCTGCTGTCTCCTGGGCCTCTGCTGGCCCACAGGCTCCTTTGTGAACCCTGAATAAGGCACCGGCTCGAGTAACGCAGCCTGCTGGAAGCCCAGTTTGGTTGGCAAATAATGCCTTTGAGCAAATAGGAAAAAGATGCCCTGTCCTTAGGCCAGACTCAGCTCCGTGCCACGCTCATGGCTTGGCAAGCTGAGGAAGGCTGGAATTAGTGCCCACGAGCTCCTCTTGGCCAGGTACCATGGTGCAGAGGGCACCCTGCACACCTGCACTGGGGACCTTTGTGCCAGCTGGATGCTGCACGAGCCTCCCGGGGTACCTGCTTCCAGCCCCGCGTCCTCAAATCCACTGTCCATGTGCAGCCAGAGTGATGCGTGTGCCCGTGAGCGTGTGCACGTGCGCGCACACACACAGCAAGTGCCCACAGCCTCCCCTTGCTCTTGGAATAGAGTCCAAACTACGTCACCAGGACGAGATACCAGCCCCCCTCTCCCACTCTCTCCAGCCACGGCCCACCTGTCATGAAGGCTTTCCCTGCGTCCCACCTCAGGGTCTTCAGGCTTCTGTTCCCTCAGCCTGACACGCTGCCCTCACCCTGCCTTGCTCAGGCTCCCTCTGCTTCTGGCCCTCCCTTGGGAGCAGCCAGTGCCTCTCCCTCCCCCCACCCTCGTCGTGGTCATCACGGCCGTGAGAGGCATCCTCTTGTGTCCCAGACACCGAAAGCTCCTGAGCAGCTCCCAAGCGTGAGACCCCACGTCCGCCGGCTTCCCTGCTCACCCCAAGTGCCCGCACGGCCTGGCCCAGGACAGTCATTAACTGAATATTACACAGAAAGGCCTGCTTACACTTGTGACCCTGCCTTCAGCAAGCTGAGAACATTCAGCCCTACCTGGCCTGAGACTTTGGGGCATGTGTGGAGAGGCACCAGATACTTTTTGGAAGGGAACCGTCCCTTTGATAGCTTGGAAGTTCTATGTTTTTCAGGTTTGTTTTGTTTTTGCCTGTTTGACTGTGACCTTGACAGTGGGAAATGTTGAACCACTCTTCTGGCACAGGGTCTACCCAACAAGCAGAACACACACCAGGTGCACACCATGCTGTGCCTGTCCGCTGTGTCGGCCTTGCTCCCAGCTGAACCTGACATCCAGAATGTCGTGTGTGCATCGCACACAACTGTGGAGTGAATGAAAGAATGAATGGAGGTGCAAGGGGATGAGGTAAGTGCAAGAACTGCCAACCATTGATTTTTTTCATGGACCAGGTGGAAACAACCTAGCTGTGCGGGACCTTGTTGCTGAGTCAGGGGACTTGGCCTCTGGCCGGCGATGACCGAGCAGAGGGTGCATGGCACTAGCAGCTGTGTGCAGGGGACTAGGGTGGGTCGCAGACAGCACCAGGTGTGCCGAGTGGGAGACGCTCCAGACCTGAAGTGCCACAGCAAGAGAGGTCTAGGGCATTAGGGAGGGAGCACCCGGTGCTGTTCCCTGCGTACCCGCTCCAGCCACATTTCCCAGTGACCACAAAGGGGAATGCACACTGGGCTCCCTGCTGAGTCAGCTCAGCTCTTTGACCCTGAGGTTGATGATTATCAAACCCCCAGGAGCCAGCCAATGAGGGCACTGAGCATCCACAACTTGTCCCTGGAGGTGCGGCAGTCCCTGAACAGTCTCTCCTGGATGCCATCAGAGGTTGAGGGCTCAGGCTTCGCTGGACACTCAAAGCTCCTGCGGTGGCAGGTGAGGGACGGGTGGAAGGACAGAGCTGTGAGTTCGACCTTCCTTGAGATTGAGACTGGGCCATTCTTGGTGTTTGCCTCTTATGGCATCTCATCAACCTAAAAATATGCAATCAAGAGGGAAGGAGCTGTTGCTGAAACTTGTGCTTGTGAGCACAGGGTTTCTGCAATGCATGGTCCCTGGAGGGGATGAAAGGGCTGGGGACATTAGCCTGGCTGCTAAAGGTGTCATCCCAATATACCCAGAAGCTGAGAGAGACAAAAAAAAGGTAGAAGTGAAGGTAGTTTATATATCACTGCTCTTTAGAAGTTATTTCACTCTCAAGTAGCCATACAAGGCAGGTTTTGTTTTATATGTTCTACACAGGAAGAAACAGAGGCTCAGAGAGGTTAAGTGACATGCCCAAGGTCAACCTGCTAGAAAGGGATGGAGCCAGGATTTAAATGCTGGTCTTTTGGACTGTCCCTTCTCGCAGTGGAGGTGGCCTGCTTCTCCAGAGCAAAAGCCAAAAGACACCTTCTGGAGCAGGGTCTCCCCATACCTGCGAAGCTGCGAGGCATGGGGCACTCACGTGGCTTTCTGTCTCTTTTCCAGGGCTGCTGGGAAGGTGTGCGGGGACTCCTCACTGTTTCTGTTGGACCTTAACATTCAAGACGCAGAGGTCTCCCCATGGCCCCTTATCTCATTCGCAAATACCAGGAGAGCGACCACAAGTGGGTCGTGGACTTGCTCTCCCGGGGGATGGCCGAGCACATTCCCGCCACTTTCCGCCACGTGCTGAAGCTGCCCCGGACTCTCGTGCTCTTACTTGGGGGGCCCCTCGCCCTACTCCTGGTCTCTGGATCCTGGCTCCTGGCTCTCACATTCAGCCTCGGCCTCCTCCCCGTCCTGTGGTTCCTTGCTGCACGTCCCTGGAGGCAGTACGTGGACATGACTTTGCGCACAGACATGGCTGACATCACCAAATCCTACCTGAGTGAGCCTGGCTCCTGCTTCTGGGTGGCTGAGTCTGAGAAGAAGGTGGTGGGCACAGTGGGAGCTCTGCCCGTTGATCACCCCACTTTGCAGGAGAAGCGGGTGCAGCTGTTTCACCTCAGTGTGTCCTCTGAGCACCGTGGTCAGGGGATAGCAAAAGCCCTGGTCAGGACTGTCCTCCAGTTTGCCCGGGACCAGGGCTACAGTGAGGTTGTCCTTGACACCAGCACAATGCAGGTGTCTGCTCAGGCCCTCTACCAGGGCATGGGCTTCCGCAAGACAGGCCAGTCTTTCCCAAGCATGAGTGCGAGGCTAGTGGATCTTCATGAAGTTCATTTTATCCACCGCCTCCCCTGTGCTCAGGTGGGGGGCTGCTGATCTCCTTCCTTGTGCATCAGTCGGGAGGGATCCTCCATGATGCAGCAATTAGGAGAGCTGCCTTTCAGTGCTGACACAATAAAAGCTTATTGGCCGTTCACATCAGAGCCCCAGTGTCTGGTGGGGTCCATTCAGTGTTTGTGGGTCACGTCTGGTTTTTGTTGTTGTTGAGACAGAGTCTCGCTCTGTTGCCAGACTAGAGTGCCATGGTGTCAGCCTAGCTCACAGGAACCTCAAACTCCTGGACTCAAGAGATCCTCTTGCTTCAGTCTCCTGAGTTGCTAGGAATACAGGCATGTGCCACCATGCCCGGTAATTTTGTTTCCTATATATTTTTAGTCGGCTAATTAATTTCTTTCTGTGTTTATTAGAGATGGGGTCTCGCTCTTGCTCAGGCTGGTTTCGAACTCCTGACCTTGAGTGATCCACCGGCGTCGGCCTCTCAGAGTGCTAGGATTACAGGAGTGAGCCACCTCGCCCTGCCTCGCATCTGTTTTGTTTTCTAGTGTCATGATGATGTTGCATAAGAAAATACCACAAAACAATAACAAGCAACTATTTAGCACACGAGCCTGCAGGTCAGCAGTTTTGGCTGGGCAGCACCTCTGGTCTCAGGTGGCTGAGCCAAGCCCACTGTCAAAGGCCATGTGGTTGGCTAAAATGACAGGGTGATGGAGCTCTCATTTCCCAGCAGCTGAGCTCAGGCATGGTTTTCAGGTAATTGCAGAGAAGGAAACACAGAAGCAGAAATGAGGAAATGCACTTTGAAGCAGCTGTCGCATCTACTGACACCCTAGGGTCAGGGGAAGAGATGGACCTGCCTCTGCAGTGAGAGTAGCAGCAAAGTCACGTGGCAAAGGGGTGGGAGGTGGTCATGGGGAAGAATCGGGGACAATGACATAGTCAATCTGTTCTAGGTCAAAGGTCTCTGAGAAGGAAGAAGGTGGCTGGGGATAGAAGGTGGAATTCAACATGAGATCAACCTGGACCCAGCCTTGGGTTCCCAGCAGGACTGAAGTTAGGCTGGGCATGGGGTCTTCCCATGTGTTCGGGAAGAGGGCATGAGATTGTACATTTCCCAGATCTGTCACACTTGGGACCCAGCCTCTTTCCCCAAAAGCTGAGAGACTCCAGATTTTCATAGGTACTGGGGGTCTGACCACATCAGGCCTTAGGCTCATATCCAGTGGCAAGTTGGTACTTGGGCCTGTGGTCATGTTGGGGCACCAAGCCCCTTTCCCAGCTAGTTCATCACCAACATGGTGCCCCTGTGGGTGGTCCAGAGCCTCTCACTGGGCTCTTCTAAGCAAGAGGCCAAGTCTTTGGCTTGTTACCAAAAGCTCAGTGCTTCTCCATGAGGCTGAATCAGAAGAAGGACAAGTGGTTGAAGTGAAGGAAAGAGATGTTTATTATTTTCTGGGCAAAGGAGGAAAGAGGCAGAATATCATCCCGAAATACCGTTTTTCTCCCCTATAACTGAAAATATAGAGCTTTTAAGGGGAGGGTTCTAAGGTTCAGGGTATTGTTGTCATCTACAGTTGATTTTTCTGATCCATTTATCTCCAGCATCTGTTGGGACCCCACACCAGTCTGAGGTATCTCAGGACTGCCTGGGGGTCCTCCATAGCAACGCAAAGGACAAAGCAGCTCAGCTGCTGGCCTCGGGCCAGTGTTAGGGAGAGACAGAATTAACACTCTAAAGAGTGAGAGGGTTTTACAAAGAAAACAATCCCCTGGCTGGCCAAGCCAAGCCAAGCCTCTTGCCTCGGGCAAAGAAGGTAAGGGTGTCAGTTTTAGTGAAAGACTGAAAACATATTATTCCCCCCTTTTCAGGCCATTCTTAGGTTACAGGCTGATCCAGAAAGTCCAGGTGCCCTTCCATCCAGGGTCTTGTGACACACAGGTGGTGTTTGGGGTCTTTTGCAGCCCTGGCAGCATCCCCTGTTTACAGCTGACCTCTGAAGGGTCAGACAGGAAACACCAGACATACTCCTGCCATCTGGCTTTGCAGGCAGGTTTCCCCTAAATGAGACCCTTTCCCACGAGCTTGGCATAGTTCCAAGCATTCGTGCTGCTGCCTGGAACCACAGGCCTCCCGTCTGCCCTCCTACCCCTCTGTGCTGGTCTCTTTTCCCCCTGGCCTCGTGGGCCACCGCACTCCTCTCTGCCAGGCCATCGGCCTCGTCAGGGCCGCCTCCCTTGTGCTTCTCTGAAAACCCAACTATGGAATCCCTTGTCAAACTGCCCCCACCACCGATGTTTTAAACTGAGCTGCTGTTACCTCCGGAGATGTGGTTCCTGCTTATTATTGATTGGTGGGGCCCTGGGGCCCAGCCTTTCCGAGGCAGGAAGAGGGTGCCAGGCTCCCCCGCTGCTCTGCCCAGCTCTCCTCGCCCCGCAAGGCCTATGCCCTCGGGAGGAGTTTCCAAGTGAGCAGTGGACCTGGGCCAGGGACCAAGTGAGCACCGGGCTGGGGCCAGAGACGAGGAAGGTCCACAGTGGTTCCTGTGCTTTGAAAGATTTGGTCTATGACAATGACATGGCTTCACTAATCTCACACAGGTGTGGTCCAGGCCCTCCTGGGACCTACAGCCCGAGGGGGCTGAGAGACCCAGGGAGGGGCAAGGACGGATGTGTTGTTATATGACGCGATGGGGGATCCTGGGCCCCGTGGAAGGACCTCAAAAGGGCTCAACTCTCATTGGTGGACAGCTTCATGGAGGGACAGGGCTTCTCCCCCCAGAAATTCAGAGGCAGGGGTGGAGCTTGGCCCAGCCCCACACAGCCCCTTCTAGTTCTTGCATGTACTGAAGCACTTTCTGCTTGAGGCCTTTGAGCTTACTTTTCCCTTTGCTGGAACATTCTCCTGCCCTCTCTCCTCCTCACTCCCCCCCTTTTTTTATTATTATTATTTTTTTTATTTTAGCGTATTATAGGGGTACAAGTGTTAAGATTACTTATATTGCCCATGCTCCCCGCCCCCCTCAAGTAAGAGCTTCAAGCATGTCCATCCCCCATACGTTGCACATCTTACTCGTTGTGGTTGTATACGCTCATCCCCTCCATCCCCCTCCCACCCTCCTGACACCCGATAAATGTTACTCCTATATGTCCACTTAGGTGTTGATCCGTTAATACCAATTTGCTGCTGAGTACATCTCACCGCCTTTTTATTCAGCAGCTACATAACCTTTGAGCTAGGAGGAAACAGTTCACCTGCTTTTATTCTGGTAGTTATTGTAATTTAGGTCTTTGGTACTCAAAGTGTGGTCCCCAGACCGCCGGCAGAAGCATTGCCTTAACTTGCTAAAAATAAGTGTGGATGCAAAGCCTACTATGCCCACAAGAGCAATATTAGCACGATAGTATCAATGCTGGATGGCTTCCTTCTGCAAGCAAGTAGGTGGCCCCGTCCATGAGGCGAGAGGCCGGGAGCGCCCTCTGCTGGTGGCCGCTCCCCACTGCCCGGTCATCACAAGGCACGTGCTGGGTGCTGACAGCCAGGGAGAGAGGGGGGCTGGCGCCCTCCCCACACCACACTCGCTGGCAGCGGGGCTGTGGGCACTGCTGTCCTGCAGGATTCAGACACAGCTGCGGAACTGACTATGTCTGGCTGTGAATCTGGGGGGAGGGTATCATAGGGTCAGGAGACTGGGCTGGGGTACCGGGAGGTCAAGCAGGACCTTCAGACCGAGACACTCCATATGACACGGAAGACATTCTGCCATGAAATCTGAGACCAAAATGAGGAAATTCTAAAGGAATTTATCAACAACAGCTTTGGGGTTGCCAAGGTTCGAGGGGCAGAGATATGAGGAGTGATGGGTCAGTGAGTACAGGTTTCCTTCTGTGGTGATGAAAATGTCTGGGGACTTGATACCGGCGGTGCTTGCACAAGACTGTGGATGTGCCCAATGGCACTGAGTTGTACATTTCACAATGGTTAATTTTATGGTATGTAAATTTCATCTGAAAAAACTTAGGAGAAAAGAGGAGGTTGATGGCTCTAAAAACTCACAAGTCAGAGACAGCAAAGACATTGAGGGATATTTTTTTTTTTTGAAACAGAGTCTCACTCCGTTGCCCAGGCTAGAGTGCTGTGGCCTAGCTCACAGCAACCTCAAATTTCTGGGCTCAAGCAAACCTTCTGCCTCAGCCTCCTGAGTAGCTGGGATTACAGGAATGCACCACCATCCCCGGATAATTTTTCTCTATATCCTTTATAGTTGGCCAATTAATTTCTTTCTGTGTTTAGTAGAGACGGGGTCTCGCTCTTGCTCAGGCTGCTTTCGAACTCCTGACTTTCAGCGATCTGCCCGCCTCGGCCTCCCAGAGTGCTAGGATTACAGGCGTGAGCCACCGCGCCTGGCCATTGAAGGAATTTTTACGGGGAGATTTGCTGCTGTGCTCAGTCTGCCCTTACAGAGCGAAGGGTGGCGGGAGGTGCCAACTTTAACCCCAGCCCACTGGATAGAGGCTGTGAGGACCCTTCTTGTCGCTGTGAGTGCAAGTCCTCGTCTGCCAAGACAAGTGATGTTGCCTCTTGCCTGATAAACCTAAAAGTCAAAGTCACAGCCTAATAGTCTGGGACTTTGGCAGAGGTAGGATGTTTGGCAGAGAGAGAGAGACAGACAGAGAGACAGAGAGAGAGAGAGAGAGAGGTTGGAGGAGGGAAAGAAAGGAAGAAGGACAGGGAGGGAGAGGGAGAGATGGTTTTGCCTGACCTGGGGCTCTGGCAGTGGTGATGCCAGCCCGTGGGCTGCCAGGGAATGGCAGAGTGCAGACTTGTGACTTGTTGGGCAAGTGTGGGGTAGGAGACTAAGGGCTTTCCAGAAAGTAGGACGGAGGGAGGACATGGTCTAAGATAATTGTTTTTCACTCAGAACATTTTTAATAATGCACAGAAAAAAAGTATTCATCTTACAGATTGTTCTGCATGCAAACATAGAATAGCTTGGAGAACAACATTTAGACAACAAAAGTCAATGTGAAAAGACAGGTTAGCCACTTCGGTACGGCGCTCACCGGCTGGGAAACCTCGCCCACAGCCGGCACTCACAGTCCGCAGGACAGTTTGTGCTGCGCGTTGACGACGAATCCGTTTT